GAAACTGGAGTCGGGACCATGGCTACCGGGACCGGCACTGAAGCCGAACCCATGGCTGCCGGGGCCGGAACTGGGGCCGGAACCATGGCTGTGTGGGCCGGTTCTGTAGCCGGAACCATGGCTGCTGGGGCTCGGGCTGCTAACCTGGCCTTGCGACTCCTTCTCTTTGCAGCCGCCTGAATACTCCGTGGACCTCCATAAGCCAGACGAGTTCCATCATACGACTCCTGAACAGGAGCAGGAACTGGGGCAGAAGCATAGGTTGACTTCAGACGGATCCCACCGAGGCGTATGGTGCCAGGTTGGGAATTGGGAGACAGGGAGCTAGCATGCCTGGGGCTAGCAGGCCGGGAATCCCACACCGGGATCATGGCTGTTGGAGCACGGGCTGGAATCCTGGCCCTGCGTCTCCTAGAGGCTCTTTGGAAACTCCGTGGACCTCCAACAGGACCGTAGTCGGATCCAAGGAAAGGGTTAGAAGCATCGGACCAGTCCTCAGGACAACTTGTGAAGAGCTGTAACCACTCCGGCAACGAACTCCTCAACCAAGGCATTTCGGCCACTTCCATTCGTGCCCTCTCGAGAATAGCCTCTTTGTCCTTTCTGGAAGAAGTTCCTTTCCACTCGGCATGAGAACATTGTAGAGAAAAGTCTAGATCGAACAGATCCATCTCAAACTCACGAAAATCCGCTGGGTCCATTTTAGTAGTGGGTTCGTTCTGTTACGGATTGTGAAGGAAGCAGGACCCAAATGCAGATATAAACTGAAAAAACTCCTTTATTTCAAGGCTATGATATAAACAAAGACAAAACAGAACACTCATCGCCGAACTAGTCAAGGCAAAAGGCGAACTGACAAGGACAGACAGAAAACCCAGAACTTAAATACACAAAAGACTAATCACACAACAAGACACAGGTGAGGAGGGAGGAGGAAACACAGGGGCCACAGGTGAACATAATCAGACAATTAGACACACCAGGGAAACTAACAACAGGAGGAAAAACACAGGGAAAAGGACCAGACAATAAACAGGAGGAAAACATGACAGGGAAAACAGCAAAACACCCAAACCTAGACATAGAACGTGACATAACCTAAACATACAAAACTACCAACGTGACATGAGCCTAGGAGTGTGACAATGAGGATTGTCACACTCCTAGAAGAGAGGTTTCTATACTCACATTTTCCTCTCAATATAATGTAACTTACTGTACTTTACCCTGCAAATGATAATGCTTCAAACTTTGAGAGCCAGCTTTGAAACCTACAATGAGGTGAATATTTGATTTTAAAAATATTTTTGATTTGTATTCCATTTCAAGAAAAGAAGTAAGCAGGACATCTTTTTGTATGGACACATAAATCACTGAGAAGCTGTAGGAAGGTGATGCCCAGAGCAGGAAATGAGCAATGGAAATGAGGCCAGCACCCACAGCAGAGGCACAAGACCCGCTGTGCCCCCACAGCTCGATCTGAGACTTAAGGGATTAGTCCTGCTGTGCTGTGTGTGTGTGTGTGTGTGTTTAACAGAGTGGGCATTGGGCAGCATTTCCCCTTCAGCCTGCAAAGCCATCAAATAAAGTAGTCCCGATTACACTGATACACACATGTAAATCTCGCCAAGATGAATACAAATCAGTTGCTATGTTTGTACAAATTAGCCCAGCATTGGAGTTTATCGTGACAATCTTCTAGGAAGGTTTATTTCTGCAGGATGTCTAGCCTCAATTTTCAGCAATCTGATCAGCCATTTGCCCTTTACCGCTGAGACGGCAGGAGGATTAGAATTAACTCTGCGGGTTCACGCTCTCATTCTGCATTCTTGACTTTCCCCTTCATACCCTGCTATTACAAGTGACTCTGACAAGCACAGAGAGCCCAGTCATCATATCCCTGAATGGTCGAGCTGACATCATGCGCATAGGAAGCATGCGAACGCAGACGTTCTTGGATAATTACTGCAATTTACAGATGGGGTTGTGTCCCCAGAGATAGCAGAAAAAGAGGGAGAGACGGAGCGAGGGACAGAGACACATTGAGGAGGAGTGATGGACAGTGGCAGCGAGAAGCAGAGACAGCACTTGGCTTGCCTGCTGACAAAAGGCTACAGAGCATAACCACAAATTGCATACAGTCATGAGAGGATTTGTAATGAGAGGCAGTATGTTACTAGGCTGAAGTGGCACGCACACACACACACACACACACACACACACACACACACACACACACACACACACACACACACACACACACACACACACACACACACACACACACACACAGGAAGCAGACAGAGATTGTTGGCATTCCACATTCACAGTGCAGGAATTGACCACCAGTGTCCAGCACAATCAAATGCCTTCAACAGCATATTCATTTGACGACCCTTTCTCCTGTTAACTGTCAAGATGTTCACCTTTATTGCTTCCTGTTTCCCTGCTGTTGAACTTCAAAAAAAAATAGAGAGCAACCTCTCGACAAAAAGTTCCTATACGATTAATCCCATTGACTTTGGTTACCCTCTGACCTTTCGTCCAGTACCACCATGAACTTGACATAATCGGCTTTGAGTCAAATGTTCAAACCCATTGGGGCAATTACTTAAAGTAAAAAACCTGTTTCGGTGATTCTCTGAGTTTTCTTCTAGCACCATCCTCAGGTCACTGTCCAATACTTTGGTTAATG